CTACATTTTCCGGTTCCCAAATTGGATTTTGTCACCAAGAAATTGAATCCTTGAGCTCATCCTTTTCCTTTCCCACTGGTTCAGTGCAATCAGGAGCAACCAATCAATTTAATTATATCCATTCATTTCACTAAAATATTTTTTAAGGTATTTAATACATTATCACCCAGAAACTTGCCTCATATAAAGACTTGATTAGGAGTACCTAACAGTGATATAAGTAGTTTGTGTATTTTTGTTGTTACATGTCTCCAGACTACCTTTGGACTCAAGTTTGAAACATCAGCTCTTGGGTTCCCAGCCTACTGGCTGGCACTGCAAAATTTTGGCTTACCAGCCCCCATGTGAGTCAATCCCTTAAAATAAAGTGTTCTCTGTACATACATCTAATTGGTTCAGTTTCTGTAGAAAACATTGGCTAGTACAGATTTTGGTTGTTGCCTTGGTTGATGAGTGTTTATTTAATAATGAATTTTGGCTTGGGCTCATTTTTAAAAGTGTATATGCTTTGTGTTGTCCAGTCATTGGCATGTCTTTCAATTTCTTAGTAGTCAGCTAATTTGATAGAGATTTCCTTAAATGTTGTGATATGATTAAATCTTCTACTTCTTGCTGAGGGTCTCAGTGTGTATTCTGGGGTACACCTGGCAGGCAGTGTACAACTTTGCCTACACCTTCACTTCCGGCTTGCACAGTCTCAGGGTCAGCTGAAGTGAGAGATAGGGTCTTTTCTGGGCATATGCCTGGCTCCACAAACATATGTGCTTATTTAGATATCCAAAAATATGTCAAAACTTTTCAAAGTTCCCTATGAATAGCTCATTGCCAGATTTTTCTTTTACATTTTTCGGTCAGCCTCTTATTTACCTCAACTGCTGTTGCCCCCTCAGTCAGCTGCGATATTAAATATTGCCTCTGATTGTTTTTGACAAATACTCTTAAGATAGGGTTTTTCTTATCTACCAAGCTCTGAGTCAGATCAGATAAACATAAACCTTGTGATTGTGGCTTTAACAGATAGGTCAAATAATGACATTTCTCTGGAGAGGGAGCACGTGCTGCTAGGCAGCTGGTTTTCACAGCTACTGTGTTTGTAAGTCTACTGGTTTTCAAGAGTATCACAGAGTTGGTAAGACGGAGGTGGGAATATGGGAAATTAAAATGCCACAAAGGGTACTCTTCTTACCACAATTCAGCTTTTTTTTTCTAAATAAACACATTGAATTGTTGAAAGCTTTGGATTGACTTCCAGAATTCTAAGAATTAATTTTTCAGTTTTTGCCAGTATTTTCTTTGCTTTAATGGAAGAGAAATTGTTTTAGGTCCTTACTCCATAATTCTGGAAGTTATTTTCTTCTATTCTTGATTCTCTGGTATTCAAGTGTTGGTTCTGCAGGCACATTGAGTCTGTACTTCCTCTGACGCTAGGAGAGCAGGGGAAGCCCATGCGTTTTGAAATAGTTAATATAGGTTCTTTTTTTTTTTTTTTTTTTGAGATGGAGTCTCGCTCTGTCACCCAGGCTGGACTGCAGTGGCCGGATCTCAGCTCACTGCAAGTTCCGCCTCCCGGGTTGACACCATTCTCCTGCCTCAGCCTCCCTAGTAGCTGGGACTACAGGCGCCTACCACCTCACCTGGCTAGTTTTTTGTGTTTTTTAGTAGAGACGGGGTTTCACCATGTTAGCCAGGATGGTCTCAATCTCCTGACCTTGTGATCTGCCCGTCTCGGCCTCCCAAAGTGCTGAGATTACAGGCTTGAGCCACCGTGCCCGGCCTTAATATAGGTTCTTAAGCAAGGACCAATGTCTACTGAATGACAGACCCATAAGAAAAGATGCTCCTTTACATTCACCCACCCCAAGCAGTTTATTCAGTCATTTAATATTCAACCACAGTAAGCCCACAATCCCAGTAAGTCTGGGGGGAAATCCATCCAAAGGATTCCAGTGGTCAGAAATAGGGAAATCAGACAGAGCAAAATGTATACACAGTAAAACAAAACTGCCAAAACAGATATTCATCCTTAAATAGTTTTTAAAAATGTGCTCAAAATAACCTAAAAGAAACAAGACTCTAATAGCACCTCGCACCCCATATTTTGGTTTCTGATACCTTTCTCTAGTAAAAGGGCCCAGGGTTTTTTGGATAAATAGCTGATTTCAGGTCTAGGGCAGGGGATATACCAGTTGAGCCTTGAGCATCTTGAAATCCCAGAAAGTAAGAAAGTGATTAAAAACACACACAGAGACATTGATGAAGGCAGTCAAAGTGGTCACAGAAACCAATGGAAAGAGGTCTCAGTGGTCACAGATGAGAAAATTTGGGCACCAAAATAAATGAAGTAATATTGTATCATAACCTGAAGTCTAAAATATGTATCCATGAAGTTCACAATGACATAAGTAATTGACTAAACAAATGGGGAAGAAAAGACAAATGTTCCTTGCAGAACAATTCCAAATAAGTGATGTAATCACTCTACCCTAAAAGAGGAGAAGCATGACTCCCTATTCCTTAGTGTGAGCTGGGTACAGTGACTTCCCTCCTATGAGTACGGTATGGAAAAGAGAAAGAACACTACCTTTACAGTAGAGAAACCTGATAAACATTACTTCAGCCAGGTAACTAAAGTCAACATCAATGGCCATAAATCTAATTGATAATATGTACCTTTCATATGCTGTGAAAATGGCACATTCTTTCTGTGTACCTCCCCAAAACTGATAATTCCTTTCTAAGCATAAGGAATACTATTAGAGGAGTATACTATCATATACGTGACCGATAATGTATGTATACTGGTTCATCAGCTGTAACAAACATACAAATATTAAGATGTTAATAAGAAAGGAAATTGTGCAGGGGGAGGGGTATATGGGAATTCTCTGTATTATACACTCAATGTTTTTATAAATTTAAAATTGTTCTTAAAAAGAAGTATATTAATAAAAAACCAGATCTTCAATTATATTCAAGTGCAAGTAATAAGAAGATTTTCTGGAGCTAAATACCATGGTTTTTAAGCTAAAAAAATGTGGTATATAAACTGAAGGAAAGATTCATAGTTAGAACCAAATTAGTGATCTAGAATATCAAAGGTAAGAATCATCACACAGCCAAATAACAGTATAAGAGGAAATGATAGGATGAAATATAAAAAAGCTTGAGGAATGGAACCGTGAACACTGTTGTAGGAGTAATGAAAATGCTATGAAAAGCAAGAAGAATAAACACTGCAAGTGTAGCAATAATTAAACAATCTCAGAAATAAAGATAAAGCTTCCTTGAACATAGACTAGAAGGTTAAGAAAAGACACTAATCCTGACATATCTTGTAAAATTCCTGATCACTAAGGAATTTTATAGGACTGCAAGTGAAACTAATAAAATATTGATGAAGGGAAACAGGAAGGAGATTGACATCAGACTTCTTATTTGCCATGCTGGAGGCTAGAATAGCTTCTTTAGATTGCTGATAAAAGATGAAAACATCCCAAATCACGTGGCTAGACGAGACATAATTTATTCTCGAGTGTAGGAAGACATTTGAGAATTTGTAATAATTTGAGGAATATATAGCTTGTAGAACTTGTTTTATTAAAATAGATGAGAAAAGAAATCTAGTCAAAAAACACATCAGAAGACAGACTCCAAGATTTCTGAGTAAAATATACTCATATCAAAATTGTATCTATTTATTTATCTAAGTGCAAGGGAATAATATTACACTTTCCAGGGAACTTAATATAAGAACCAAAAAAGATACTGAAAAGAAAGGAAACACTGTTAAATAAATTCCTGTTTGTTGTCAATTCTCTCCACAAATCCAGGTGGTTGGGAGTAGGGGATGTAAAAATGTTACAGAAGTCTGTCAAGGGGATGAGGGATAAGAAAGAAAAAGTAAAGAGTGAAAATACTCTTAAGATTTCCTTTTATTGGGGAGGGATCAAGTAGGAGGGAAATAGAAGCATGCATCTTGATGACAAAATAGTTTTATTTAAATCATTTGATTATGAGAACAAAGAAAATAAAAGTGTTATGTAATGAATGAGAAAAGAACAGTACATCGTCCTAGGAGAACACAAATGAAATACATTGCATCTTGATCAAACCAGGAACAATAAGGAAAAGGAAAACATGTGGTCATCAATGGGAAAGAAGTAAAAAGTGTCAAACAAGACGGAATGAATACAATCAAACATATCAGCCACTACTCAAAATATAAACAGATGCTTTGTTTTCTACTAAAATACAAAGAGCTAAATTAGATCAAATCAAGATATGCACATTGGAAGAAATAAAAATATTTAAGGCAAGGTAATAAAGCAGTGGGCAAAGTGATTCCAGGTAAATGCAAACAAAACAGTAATCAGGACTGGTAATGTTAGTACCAATCAAGGTAAATTTTCATATTAGAAGAACTAAAATGTGAAACAGAAACATGATGTAAAGGTATGAGTGTAATTTATAAATAAGATATAACACCATATATATTTGTGCACCAAACCATATAGCACTTAATATAAAAGTAAACTATTAGACAACTAAGAAATTAATAAATTACAAATACAATGGGAAACAATATATACATCTAAATTTTAAAAAAGAGTATAGTAAAAAGTAAACAAAGATCTAGATTACTTTCTACATTCTGTTTACTTCATTTAACAGAAGTTTTTAAGAGTCTACAACACCTTTGTAGATTGTGGACATTTATGAAAACTGGTTGTGTGCTTTGTCATATCTGTTATGTGTCAGCTTTGCTAAACTATAACTGTGTTCTCTAGAATCTCCTTCCCTTTGTGGTTTCAGGTTAAAGCTAATCAAAAGAGAATTTGCACAAGACTTGGGAAGCTGAAGGGATGCAGCAGACATTATACTCTGAAGGTCATTTTGTTTAGGAGTGATTGGAGACTAAGACTAGTAACATGAGAGATGAAGATAGATTGTAGCCAGAACTTGTTCTTGCCAGCACTGTATCCAGCTCTTTTTCTCTATAGGAATTCCAGCCCAGCAGGAGATAGAGAGGCAATAGCTTGGCCATAGACTGTCCCATCAGTACTGCATCATAATCTCACTCCAGATTCCCTGGAAGCTCTGATTTGTCTGCCACACCAGTGTTTAAGAAGGGCTGGTTCGTGACATTTCTCTGATCCTCCTGCTTTCCCTTTTGGATTCTCATTGTCTCACGAATCTTACAACTGGGTAAGTTCTTAGTTCTAAAGCCCTTCTTCTACAATACTTAAAATAGTTCTCATTCTGCTCTCTTGATTGTACATTGATTGATAAAAATAAAATAGAAAGAAATATTTTTAAAGAAATAAAGCATTTTAAAAACATTGTCAAATTCTAATCAAAAATAAATAATTTAAAGTGGTAAAATTTTTTTCTCTGGAAGTCGTAGAAATATAAGTTAAAATAAGGTATCTTTAACAGCTTTTCTCATTAGTAAAAATGAAAAGGAGCCCTGATACCTATTTTTATAGGATATGTTAACAAAGGTGTTTTATCATACATTGATTTGGAGCTGTAAGGTGTTAGAGACAATGTTAACCAATAATCCATCTCCTGGATATCTATGCCATACAAACAAAGCAGCCGTAAGTAATGACTCATATGTCAAGGTGTTTATTGCATCATTTTTCTTGGCAGCAAAAAAATGGAGACAAAATTAATACCCAACAATATAGTTAATGATGGTTTATCCTACTAGAATTATCCTAGGATAATTGATAATCCTTCAATTATCCTAAATAATTGAAGTCTATCCAATTATTTGAGGAGGTAGAAAACATATAGAAAGTTACATACTAGGTTATTAACTTGGGTGGGCAGCTTAAGATGGGAGGATGGAAGAAGAGAGGGAAAAGGAAGAGTCAAAAAAGGGAAAAAGGGGCCCACGCCTGTAATCCTAGCACTTTGGGAGGCCGAGGTGGGAGGATCACTTGAGTCCAGAAGTTCCAGACTATCCCTGGCATCATAAAAGGAACCTGTCTCTACAAAATAATAATAATGATAATAATAATAATAATGTTATCTGGAAGTAGTGGCACACACCTGTAGTTCCAGCCACGTGGGAGGCTGAGGTGGGAGGGCCATGTGAGGCTGGAGGTTGAGGCTACAGTGAGCCATGGTCCTGCCATTCCACTCCAGTCTGGGCAATAGAGTGAGACCCTGTCTCAGAAAAAAGTACAAAGGGCTGGGGGAAGAAAACAACTATATATTCAAGAGAAGATGTATTGCCACGTATATGCATTTGTGTAAAATTATGTGTATGTATGGGTAAAACAAAACCAAGCATTAAAAAAAAAATTCTTATACATTTAGCCCAACGTAATTTACCACCAGATTTATCCATATTCCTTAGTAGGAACCCTCAACTTGCGTCAAAATATACTCCTAGGCGTGCCTCATAAAAATAACCCAAAATACCTCATTTTGTTTCCTCTTTTTGGAAAGTTCTCCGCCTGATGCTCATCATACAAGTTCTCCAAGGACCAGTTGATGTGTCGTCTCTCCTCTGAATACACCAGCCCACACAACGTCTCTTCCGAACTTCTTTATCCTTACTAAATAATTTAGCACTTAATTATATAGAACCATGACTTGTTCTCTGATTCTTTTATGCTGTCAGTCGTGTCTCCCTACCGATTAGTCCTATTCTCAGTTTCTATTTCTTTTAACAGATGCATCACCAAATTGTACCTTTCAGGTGGTGATTGTTCTATACAGCATAATGCTTAGTCTTTGGTTTCCAAACAGGGATGCAGCTGGGAAAGTATGCAGTCATGACCTCAGAAGACCTTAGTTAAAATTACATTCTGTTAATTGCTGTGGAATGTGCCTCAGTACATTGTATTTCTCTCAGCCTTGGTTCTAATATCTGTAAAATAGGTCTCTGAGGCTTTAATTACACTTTAAGTTCTGGGGTACATGTGCAGAATATGCAAGTTTGTTACATAGTTATACATGTGCCATGGTGGTTTGCAGCACCAATCAACCTGTTACCTACATTAGGTATTTCTCCTAATGCTATCCCTCCCCTAGTCCCCAATCTCCCAACAGGCCCCGGCGTGTGATGTTCCCCTCCCTGTGTCCACGTGTTCTCATTGTTCAACTAGCACTTATGAGTGAGAGCATGTGGTGTTTGGTTTTCTGTTCTTGTGTGTGTTTGCTGAGAATGATGGTTTCCAGCTTCATCCATGTGCCTGCAAAGGACATGAACTCATCCTTTTTTATGGTTGCATAGTATTCAGTGGTGTGTATGTGCCACATTTCATTTATCCAGTCTATCATTGACGGGCATTTGGGTTGGTTCCAAGTCTTCGCCATTGTGAACAGTGCTGCAATAAACGTACGTGTGCATGTATCTTTATAGTAAAATGATTTATAATCCTTTGGGTATATACCCAGTAATGGGATTGCTGGGTCAAATGGTATTTCTGGTTCTAGATCCTTGAGGAATCGCCACACTGTCTTCCCCAATGTTTGAGCTAATTTACACTCCCACCAAGAGTGTAAAAGTGTTCCTATGTCTCCACATCCTCTCCAGCATCTGATGTTTCCAGACTTTTTAATGATCGCCATTCTAACTGGCCTAAGATGGTATCTCATGTGGTTTTGATTTGCATTTCTCTAATGACCAGTGATGATGAGCATTTTTTCATATGTTTGTTGGCCCCATAAATGTCTTCTTTTGAGAAGTGTCTGTTCGTATCCTTTGCCCATTTTTGGCTGGGGTTGTTTGTTTTATTTTTATTTTTTGTAAATTTGTTTAAGTTCCTTGTAGATTCTGGATATTAGCCCTTTGTCAGATGGATAGATTGCAAAAATTTTCTCCCATTCTGTAGATTGCCTGTTCACTCTGATGGTAATTTCTGCCAGCTCTTTATATACATTTTAAAACAGCTTGGATTGTGGAAAGCATTCTGAATCAGCGAACCTGACCTTGAGTCTGAACTCTGTAACAATTTATCTCATATAACACCTATCAATTTTTTACCTGTCCCTCTGCATCCATGTTATTTCCCACTGAGACTAGCTAAGGCAGTTGTGCTACCCAGAACTAGTGTTACTTTAAAATTTATTTTCCTAACAGGCATACCTTTGAACATGAAAGGGATTGCTATTAATTATTACACTGAATGGGGCCACAGGCATAAACCAGGATTGTCTCTGGTCAACTAGGAACTTTGCGAACCACATCTAGAGTAAATATGCAGCCACAGGTACCTCATTTGTGTGTAGCAGGAGATAGTTCTGTTTCCTATTTACCCCTCTGTTCTCACACTTAACCCCAGTAGAGAGGAAAGGTCTTTAGTGAAAGAGTGCAGACACTCTTTGTTGGCATAATTAATCAGTTACTCTATGAGGTAGAGTCAATATTAATAGGGCTATGTTTTGTTTAACTTGCCCCCTATCAAACATTTTAAGGTTATAAGGCAGTGGTTTTAAGTTGATGAACATGAGACAATTCTGGGTTTTGGGTTGTCTTATTGGGTCTACGGAATATTTCTTTAAAGGATTTGAAAGCATATCCAATACTCTAAAGTGAGATAGGTAGGTAGATAGATAGATAGATAGATAGATAGATAGATAGATAGATAGATTCAGATTTGCAATTTCTCTTGAAAAAAGAACATCTCTTAAAAGTGAAACTTCATTCCCACTTGTCAACAATCAAGTGGAGCTGAACAGTTAATTCTTCCTAATTTTATCTCTACTTCATTATACCTCTCCTAAAGTTGATGGTTAATTATATTTATTCTTCCCCACGAGATAGCATGGTCTGCCTGCCTAATTCACCCACATGTTCTGCCTAGAACCTGAAAGCGTTAGATTTTCTGAGCTTCGGGTAAATCTCCCTCCAGCAACTTGCAGCAGAGATTTTTAGAGTGCTGCCAGAAACAAGGTGGAGAGCAGAAGATTAGAAAAACTGAGGAGAATTGAGGGAAAGTCACTGGAGTCTAGAAAAAGAGGATGGACTGTGAGCTGCTCATCTGAAGTGGATTTTTGTGGACTGATAATTAGATAGGAAATAATAGATAATACATAGATATTTTTGGACTGATAGAAAAAAAGATGAATTGCTCTTCATCTGAATGCCATACATAGATGTAATCATCTACAGCTATTTTTTTCTGAGAATATACATAATATAGACCTACCTAGGATTTATGAAAAGAAAACAAATATTACATATAAAATAAAAACAATAATATTTACTCATAAAACTATTGGGATTAAACCCAGAAATAACAGGATATAACTTATCAACTGCACATAATTATACAATGCTGAATGGCTTGATGATGATGGAGAAGGCTCTATATTAATGGAGCATGATTTTCAGTTTGGGAGGTTGATTAGATTACCCAGATAAAGTCTTTATATCTTGCTTCTTTGACTCACATTTACTGAACACCTCTTGTTGAAAATAGAAGAGAAAACCCATTAAGTCATTACTAATATGACTTGAATCAAGTTATCATTTATTTCACATATTTATTATGTTTCCTGAGCCCTGAGACCCTGGAGTCTCAGAGAGGAAGGACCAACATCTTTACCCAACAGTGTGGGATGACAGCAAGAGGCTCCAGACAAACTGAGTTCTAGAAACTAATACACAGAAGAAGACAAAGAAAGAAAAAGAAGGAGGGGAAGGTTGGCTGACTTGCCTTTCTCACTTAAAATCATAGGGCACTGCCTCACATCTCTCCACAGCATCCTCCTCAATCCATTTTTGGCCACAGGAATTTTGTGTATTGCCCCATTTACAATGAAAAAGCAGTAATGAGTAGAATAACAGCAACTAATATTTAGTGAGATTTTTAGCATGCTAAGCACTTACCTCAGTCCTAATACTATCTTTATAAGGTCAGCAATGTTATCACAAATTTATAAATGAGGAAATTGGGAAAGAGTTGAATTAAGTAACATACGTAAAATCATGCAGCTGGAAAATGCATAACTAAGATTTGAACGCAGATAATCTGACTCAAAAGTCCAGGAAGATGACTGCTGTGCAGTAATAGCTCTATAACCCCTCTTCTCAGCTGTCTTATAAGAGGGAACACACGACATGTTAGCGAGCGATTTCCATTTCAAGGCCTGATATAAAGGCTACTCTCTTGATAAGGCCTTACTGAATTTGCCACATTGAAATGAAACTATCTCGCCATTGTGGGCTCACAACACTGTATTTC